AAAAAAAAAAAAAAAAAAAAAGATAAAAATATATCAAATCTAAAATACATATAAATTACATGAAAACGAATATACATATATTTTTCTTGTAATTCAAGGAAATTCTAATTATACTGGGTTAAATCTAATTAGCATTACCACATCTCTCAACACGAGAATCAGCCTAGTGCAACGAGAAGCAACGAGCAAAACAAATGCTAAATATCAGAAAGATAACCGATCCCAGACTCTCAAGCGATATCGTAGGTACAAGGACCACCGAGTACGTACGAGGGCGTAAATTAAAGCGAAGTGGTGTTTCATGAATAATTGAAAAGTCCGGTCGTTTCGATCCTCGTGCGTGTACAGACGCGGATGTTCGACGTTAGCCATTTTAGAAACCGACGAAACTGCCAACTCTACATTCAGAATTCACAATGGATTTTTGTGAAATTCTTTTTTATCATGGAAAAAAAAAATTCGTTGTTTTGAAAGGTTGAATTTCCTTTTTTCTGATGTTGAGCGAGAAAAACTATTGTTCTCCCTATACCTACAAGAGAGTATTTTTAGAATTTCTTTTTCATGATAGAGAAAATAGTGTTACCTTTTCAAGAGAAATTTGTTACAATTTATATTTTTTTATTTGTCAAATATTTTTCTTCCTTTTTTTCTAAAAAAAAAAAATTGTTATGAAAAACTGAATCTGTATTTTTGAAATTATTTTCATCGTAGAAAATAATAGATCTTTGTTTCTTGACTGTGGCTTAAACTTTTATTTATCAGAGAAAAAATATTTTGAAAATATTTCAAATAATAAAATAAAATTGAAACATCATGACTTATGTTATATTGTATATATGGTTTTAAAGTATTTTTAAAAATAATAATTTAATATAAAAAATTCTTATCGTTTAATTAAAAATTATTGAAAATTATTTAAAAATTATTGTAAAATTTATTATTTTACATCTGAATTCTTTATGATAAATATTAGAGACGAATTTTCGATTATTAATATTTCATTATCTCTTCTTTAATGTTGCATTACACGTGTTTTCATACAAGATTATAAAGAGAAAATAAAAAAAAATAAAAAAATAAAATTAAGATTTTATTTCTTTCATCACAAATAGCAATTTTAAGAAACAAAAAATAGAAATGTCGCGATTATAAAATCTAATAAAAAATTCAATACTTCAAAATGTAAAATATGTACAAATGTTTTTTATTAAAAATTCTCAGGTTACAAAAATATAATAATTTAAGTAATTTTTTGAATGTTGTTATTTTTATATCAATCTAATGAAACTAATTTTACATTTGCTTCTCTATTAATTGAATTATCTATTTAACCTCTATAAATTGGTTAATATTTCAAATAAATGCAATGCGTGCATAAAATTTTTGTTTCTTTTATAACATGATATTTATTTGTAAATTAAAACATAATATTTTGTATAATTTTATAGTATCTAAAGTATCTCATTGGTATATATTAATTTGGCTTAAAATTTATTATTTTTTTTCCTTGCTGATGTCTTAAATTTTATTCAAATTAAGATATAATATAAATTAAGATATAAATATATATAATATAATATATAATATATAATATATAAATATAATATAAATTAAGAT